TCATAATACCAGGGGTGTTACAGTGCCGACCTCATCGTCGATGACCTGCCCCTCTGTCTCTCTATCATGTGGGGTCAGTTGACCCACGGGACCAGTCGTCAGCGCCTCTATGGTGTATACGCCGGGTGCACCTAGCATTTAGGGTTTAGTTGTTTTTAAATTATTTTCACAGATTTGAATACAAACTTCAAAAATTCATATTTAGATCTAGGAGTGTTCAAATGAGGTGAACCAAGTTTTATTAGATTCATCATGAAGTGTACTATTTGATAAAAATATGAAATCTGCTGCTTAGGGTATTTTTCTAGTAGAATTAAATTCAGCAAAATAAGTGCTTCTAAATTTGTTTATATCTTGTAAATTGTATATCTTGAGCTAGAAAGGTGATCAAATTATGATTCTAATTTTGCTAGTCTTGTGTTGACATGCTTTAGCTAGGAAAAATATTAAACCTATAGTAAATATACTTGAAATATGGTCTTCCTATTTAATCTTAATTAATTACTAGTTTCTAGATAAATTAATTGGGGTAAGAATACATAACATATGATCATACAAATTTTTACACAGTATTCTTGTGCTAGGAGAAAAGTAAGAAAAATATTAAATATGTTGCTTGACACTTTTCATTAGGCTAAACTATTTTTTTGCTAAGATAAGCCTATATAACTTATCATTTTAGTAGAGATGGCTATACTTATCCAAATAGCATGAAATTTATATAGTAGACTATTAGGGTTTTATGTAGGCTACTGTAGTTTTCTTAGAATTTATTGAGAATTAGAAATATTTATCCTTTAAATCACCTTATTATATAAAGAAATCAATAAATGAAAATAAATAAATTAGATGGGCTTAACCATGATATTTTTCTGTGGTGTTTGTGATGCATATAACCTGTTGATGTTATCAAATAGTCTTAGGAATGATTGGTTGTAGACAACTAGCTAATTATTGTTTTATAATTCACTTAGATGGCTGCATGTGTAGTTTCTATTGTGGTAATAATTTCGTGATGATAATGACATTTTCTATGAAACTTATTAATAACAAAGTTATATATAACTTACTTATATACCTTGTGTTAAATTTTCATTGTCATAGGCCTTATAATTTAAAAATTATAGCTGTTAGAAGTCTACTGTCAAAAATGCTTGCTCTCTAGATAAATTTGAAAGATTAAATTGTTTAACTTAGATAATTACTAAATCACATTAAGATGATTAAAATAAAATTGTAGGCATTTTCATAAGCTTTCCAGAATGTCCACAAACATATTATTTAGATATGTATAACTCCGGTTATGTATAAAACAAGTGGCTGCTGTCTTGTAGTCTAAAAAATTACTTAGATGAGAATTTGTTTAGTTACTAGAGAAGAGATATAGACCTACTCAATAAAATAAGATGTAACTTGTTATCACCTTAATACATTGCTATTGAAAACACCTATGATAATGCATTTTATCATACCCCACCATATCATACATGTCGTTATACATACATCCACGATATCTTATTCCATGATCATGCATATAGGATTGTCTAAGGGGATAACTCTTTTTGAAGTTCAACGAAGAAGAAGAGGAGGAACAGTAGGAGACACATCAGGTCATAGCTCTAGAAGGAGAGGAGCAAACTCTTAAGGACCTCCCTGAGTGCCTGGATCATATGCCAACCTCTTTTCTCAAAGGCAAGCCCCGAAGCATTCTAAGTCTTCTATGTTTTATAAAACTTCACTTGAGTCCTTTTATGTTTGATGTATTAGGTGATAAGAGTTGAATTAAAACCACTTGATATATAGAACTACATTGTCTAGATATATACACCTTTAACCCTGTGTAGATCTAGGATCGAATACATGCTTAGCCATGCTTAGACCGGTAGAAGTCAGGTGATTTTATGTCACCTGCGAGATATATGTGGATACCAAAGTACGGTTGTCTATATTTTTCTATCATGAAAAAGAACCATGGGGTAATGTAGATGGAGGCCGGGTGAAGTTTATGTGTAGGTTGACTTATGTGAATCTGTCTGTGCCGATTAAGGATTGTACCGTTGTTGGGCGCTTCTGACAAGATTGAATACATGCCTCTCACTTAGCTGGCCGGATAACTCGTTCCGACCGTAAAGCCGAGTAGCTCAACTCAGGTCAGGCCCTATTCTATAAAAGTGCATACTCTGAATGGTAGTAAGGATGTGCGGAGAGCCAGACATGAGCCCAAGGGTAGGCCGGGCCTGAACATCCTGGCAGCTGGTTGTCCCTAATTGTGCGACGTTGGGCGAACCCGCTAATTATGGATTTGAGTTATACCAAAGGTGACCTAAGGTGACCATTGATCTGGTCTGCCTAGGTTTATGTTAGGAATAAATTCTCAGCTGGTTAAAATCGATTCGAATCGCTGTCTCTCTCGGACAGTGAAAATTTTGGCTAGTACCAACATCATAGTAACTGTATTATGGAATGATGGTTATGATGAATATAGAATTATTATACCGGCTATGGTTACTATTGTTATGCTACTAAATGATATACCACATATTTGGCACATGTTAGTTGCTAATCTAGAGATAAATAGCTATAATTAACTTGATGACCGAATTATAAAATGTATAGCTGAATTAGTGGCTTTTTATGCAAAATATTGTCAAGCTAGCTCCATAGATTTATTGATCATCGGTATCTAGTATGTCTTCGCTATTAATGCTGCATCAGTCGACTTGATCTGTTGATAGCATATTAGACTGGACATTGTTGGTCAATAGATCTATCTGTTAAGAAGAGCATGGGGTTAACCACTCGCTATGTCTCCATCGGCTATTTAGCCGATGGCCTAAGCTTCCACACGTATAATATGCCCTCACGATTCCTTTGTAATATAAGTAGATCTATCGACTGCTAGTCTTTGATATAGGGTCCTACTGTCAATGCTGCATCAGACGACTCGACCCGTTGACGGTACAATAGGTTAAGTCTAATTGTTGGTAAATTCATTTATATCCGATGGATGAGTGATCGTATGTTATACGACAAGATCACTGGAATCGACTGTTTTAGCCGATAGCCTGTTTTGTTGAGGATGTACTGGCTATTTACATGTTTTTATTTATTTTTATCTTGGTTAAAAGCTAGTATGCCTATCACATGAATGCTTACACGCCGATCCTTACATCTTTTGTATGCTTTCATGATCATCGGTTAGTTAAGATCTATATCTTTGAGTAACTGATAATTACCAATATACTTATTCTACTCATCATGCATCGTGAACATGCTGAATATCCATTGTCTAGTCGATAGCCTTATTTTATCGGCTACTTAGCCGCATATTTGGAACTGTTTGGACAAACACCGACATGTTCCACCTTAAATTACTGATCAATTTTCTCTCTTTATCAATTGTAGGGTCAAATTGACTGGCACGCCCTCAGTCACGACCATCCGGTCCGATGTCCCTCCTAAGTCCGGAAAGAGCTCGGGATCTGTTCCACGTGGTTTCTCTCGGCTTGCTCCGTGTGTCGGCGGCACCCTATCGCTTTTCGCCGTCGACACATTCCTAGGAGGCCTCGCTATCGTTCCAACCGACGTGGAAGTATCACACCGTCGCTTCTATCGCTATAGCAGTGAAAGTGACGACTGTGTTGTGTCAATCTGTAGCAGTGGATCTCAAACTAATAACCGCTTTAATTGAACTTGCACTTTATCGGACAGGCTAGACGGTGGGTGCAATTGTTTGAATATTCTTATGGTGGCTACAACAAAAATATTTGAATATTCCATAGACTTTTTATGCCATGGGCTACTTTCGTAGTTTCGCTAGTGCATATCGGTAGTACCTCTTGACAACCAGTTGGGTCATGGTTAGGTTGACTTTGGTCATGGATGACAATTTAGGTTCTGTTTAGATCTATGGTGCTAAACTTTAGGCTGTGTGGATCCAGGGGCTAATGATTAGCTATGTACCCTACGATGATCCATTTGCCCCTAATTAGTACCTATGCACAGACATGCATAGAGATGGGTGATGGTAATATGCGTTTTTTCCCATAAGACCACTTTTAGCCCACTTTGGAGGGGTTGATGAAAAAAACATCGGCTAAAGTTTAGCCTCCACTTTTAACTGTCATGTTTGCATCCATGAGGGTTAAAAATATGACTAAAAGAGGTGGGTTAAACTTTAGCCCCATGATCAAACAGGACCTTAGCCTAAACACCTGGTCCGGCCGCGGAGCGGTCTTGTCATTCATGTCTAGATCATCGATATATAATATATAATATATACTTACTAGCAAATAAAAGAATGAATTTATATAGAAGACTCAAATAGTCTTAGTTTAGGCACCATAAGGTATTGTGTGATTTTAGGAAAATCTTGAAGTTGATTTGATAATTTTTGAGCTAAAATAAACTTAATATATTTTTAAATATTAAATCAGATTTTAGTTTTCTTATTAATTGCATAAACTGTATAGGATAAAATATAAAAGAATAGTTATAGTCTGATTACCTCTTCCTAATCTATCAAAGAAATGCAATTTATCTTCTTGGTGGCTGATCTAGCGCTTGATGTCATATTATATTAGATAATAATACCGCCATCCTCAACCGTCCAAAGTGCAAAATCAAACGACTTTAAAAATTGAAGAGCTAAAAATCTGAGATATAAATATAAATATAAGTAGATAAAAAAAATCAGACTATTATTGTAAAAAGTTGAGGGATGGAAACAACTTTTTTCCGTGTGTATATACGTGATGATGGGCTGAGGTCCAATTTCATGGTACGCTGGTTCGTATCGTTGCTGGTTGGTTTACGTGGTAGGAACACTGCTGGCACGTGAACAGTAGCCACTTGAGGGGGCTGGCCAGCCCGCCGCAGCCCAGCGATCAGGCTCCCATCTGCTTTGCGACGCGCTCACAGGAACTCGCTCGACCCCCAAACCCCTCTTGCCCTAGCGCTCCCCGCCCCCCCCCCCCCCGCCTCCGCCTCTCGCCGGCGAGATGATCCCCGTCAGCGCCGATGTCGCTGCGGAGCTGCGCCTCCTGCTCGAATGCGCCACGGACTCCAACTTCGACTCCATTCGGCGCGAGCTTTGCCAGGTACCCATCTGTACTGCTGGACCATCCCCGCTTCCTGCCAGCGTTACGTCCCCCTTCCCTTCGATTCGTCGCTTCCCAGTCTGGATCCGCGGGTTCCAGTCCGTTCTCGCCAATGCTGCGTCGCCTGTCTCCTTGTGAGCGCGATCAATTCTACCCTAGGTTACGCTATGGTAGCGTTTAACGGTAAGATTGTCGGTTCTGAGTTTAGACTTGTTAGAGTTGCAGGCCACAAGTTCGGCGCCTAGCGACCTAGGTTGTTAACTTTTCATCCATTTGATTACTGCAAACAAGTGGGGTTTTGGGATTTATGGCCGTGCTTAAACTCTGCGTGAATAATTAAAACTCATTCGCTTTACTAGCTGTGCTAATGTGACGAATCTATCTCATTTCCTCAAGCACAGAGCTCGTGGTGACTTTTCATTGGCAATTTTAGTTCAAATTCTTGTTGAACCACCTACTGTAGTTTCGAAAAATAGACAATTTACCTACTTGCTGGTTATAATAAATTTCTTCTTTGGCTTCGACCATATCTTAGTTCTAATTACTGAATACTGAGTCTGCTCGATGTTTTCTAATTCAAGTTATATTTCCCCCACCTTTTCAGTTAGTTGACAGTGGCCTGGATGGATGCATTTTGGTGCTCCGAGTATGTCTGAATCAAGTGTTGCTGAATGCTGGGGAGGTCAAGAACCTCCAGCTGCAACAAAAGCTTTTATCTGATGTTTTCAGATATTGTTTGCATAAGACATGCTTTGCAACCAGTTTTTGTGAGGTGTTGACGACAATAGCCTTGACAGATGATTTTCTTGAAAGCTTGTCAAATCTGCTGGAACTATCAGTTGCTGAGAAAGTTGGTGTTGGACTTGCGCTCTCAGATTCTGAGGACTCAGAGTTAAAGCAGAAAGGTAGACATTTCTGTGTGAGTCTAGTGATATCATATCTGCTACTCTTATTTTCAGATGGTCATTGACATTGCCTCTTTTGTTTCAGGGCAATTGTTTTCAATTGCTCAAATTGAAGAGCTGTGCACGAATCCTATCCAATCTGTATCAAATGATCAAATTCATGAAATCGTCGTGTTTCTGCATCAGTCTGATGGCCTGTCGAAGCATATGGACACTTTAAATAATGTTATATCTCTACTAAAAGTCACAGAGAGGCCGTTTTTTGCACCTGTCCCAAATGGAGATTTTGATAGACAACCAAATCCTTCAAGGTATTCAGTTTTACTAATCAAAATCTTATTGCCTGTTTGGATCCTCTCCTCTAAACTTTAGATCTATAAAAACTTTAGAGCTAAGTCTCCAAACAGGTGGTCTAAAGTTAGCTCTAAACTTTAACCCACCTCACATTAGAGCTTTAGAGCTCAAAACTGAGCTAAAGTAGTTTTTAGAGCTCTAAAGTTTAGAGGAGGGGATCCAAACAGGCCCTTAATATTTGTACTTCTTCGTTCCCGTTTATTGACAAATGCTTTCCCCCCTCTTTTTTGTGCCATGTAGACATTTGGATATGTACTTTTGTAGCACAGATGATGATTTTGAGTTGCTTCTGTCTGAAATTGGGAAAGAAATAAGCATGTCTGACATTGTAGCCGAGTTGGGTTATGGATGTACTGTTGACAACACTCACTGTAAGGAAATACTTTCCATTGTTGAGCCTCTTGATGATGTCGCTGTATCTAAGTTGCTTGGGGCTGTTGCTGGCACTCATAGTGGTCTTGGAGAGGCCCATAACACATATGCAACAATTGTATCTGCTATTCGTAATAGCCACACAAATGACTCACCTCAGCTTACTAAATGGAACACAGATGTTCTTGTGGATTCAATCAATGAACTTGTAAGCTATTGACTTGCTTTTTCATTGGGTGTTCTTTTTTTGTTTTGCACCCTTACACTCCATCTCTCTTTGTCATGCAGGCCCCAAGTACAAACTGGGTGCGTGTAATGGAATATCTTGATCATGAGGGTTTCAATATACCTGATGAAACAGGCTTTTATCTATTGATGTCTATATACACACGTGCTTGCAAGGTATGTGTATAAACATTTTTATTTTTTGAAAATTAACTAGTTGGTTGATAAATTAATTGGATTATACAGGATCCATTTCCACTTCATGCTGTTTGTGGGTCATTGTGGAAAAACACAGAAGGCCAGATATCGTTATTAAAGCATGCGGTTTCTGCTCCACCTGATAAATTTACATTTGCACATTCTTCCAGGCACCTGGTAATTTTGACATCATCTGGCCTCACTCTTGATAAAACTCTATCCAATTCACACCTAACAGTTGTTATATACTGTAGGCATTTCAGGATTTGGCAGGTCCTAGCCAAGGCAATCATGCTTGGTTCTGCCTCGACCTTCTAGAAGTTTTATGCCAACTAGCTGAAGTTGGGTACACTGCATCCGTACGATCAATGCTTGAGTATCCACTGGGACATTGTCCTGAGCTCTTACTTGTTGGTCTTAGCCACATCAGTGTATGTATTTCTAGTCCCACCTAATGAGTTCGCCTCTAGTTTCATGACTTTAATAGTGTTAACGTTCACCTTGTCTCTTACCTTTTGGTGTTAGCTGCATCAATGTGTGCATTTCTAGTCCCACATAATGAGTTGCCTCTAATTTCATTGATTTTAATAGTGCTATAAGTTCCCTTTGTCTCTTTGCAGATCGTGTATAATCTCCTCCAATATGAAGTACTGTCCTGCGTATTTCCTGCTTTACTGAAGGATCCAACAAAGCGCAATGTAGTGAATTATCTCTGGCATACAAACCCATACTTCACGCTTCGAGGTTTTGTTGATGCTCATAGTGATCCAGATTGTTTGCTAAGAATTGTTGATGTTTGTCATGACTTGAAGGTTTGTATAAGAAAAATACACTTTATTTTCTAAAATTGTATTTTATCAAAACTTATCCACATGCTTCTAATAACCATTTTTTTTTCATCTGTTCATTATTGGGAGTATGCTACAATATTATTTCAATGCTGTAACACTATTTTGTCAAATCAAATTTGTTTCACTCAACTTTTATTTCTACTTTAAACAGATTCTGTCTTCTGTCCTTGATTCTACTCCATTTGCATTTTCTATTAAATTGGCTGCTGCTGCCTTGAGAAAAGACTATAGTCATCTTGAGAAATGGCTGACTGAAAAGTTATCTCTATATGGAAAAGGTTTTGTTGAGGTAATATGCATAATCTATTCTTGTAGGCTGCTACATTGTAGCTGACCTCTTCCACATCCATCATGTTGTTCAATTCGGCTAGCAAACTACCCATTTTTTTCAATGCTCGATTATAAGGTTTATCTTGCCTAACTTAACTCTTTCTACTCTCAGGAATGTGTTAATTTCCTGAAAGCAACTATGAGCAACACAGATTATGTCTTAGAGGGCACGGCACAACCTCAATCTATTGTCAAAAACATATATTGGGAGTCTTGTTATGTCTTCATAAAGGTCTGCATGTTTTTTTTTTATTTTGCTCCTCCCCCTTTTTTTTGGTGGTGGGGGGTAGGGTGGGTGGGGGAATCAGTATGGACTCATGTCATGCACATTTTCAGGTTCTCCAATCTCACTCGGGGCATTTCTTGTCAGATGTAATACTGGATGAAATAAGGAAACTGTGTTCTCTGTATGAATCGAGGAATCCTAGCTCTGCTGTAAGAGAGCTTACTAGTTCAGAGGGAGGGTCAGATGACATTGAAGTAGAGGCTAATGCATATTTTCAACACATGTTCTCTGGACAGATAAGCGTTGATTCCATGATACAAATGCTTGGGCGCTTCAAAGAATCTACAGATAAGAGGTGCAAATTTAAGCTATAACTGGAATTAATTTGGACTGATTTTTGTTGCTTTTCTGACTCACCGTGTGGTTTGGACAATCACTTCACAACATGCTTCAAAGACTTGTTGATGGAAATAGGTTTGGACCAGCTTATAAAATACTGAAGAAGATATACGCTCAACAATTTAATTAACCCGAGTGCTAAAATTACAGCCATGATCATTTCTTTGAAACTTAGCTTTTTTGTTTGTTGGTATTACGCTGTATATTCTATTTAAGGTATGCTTTATAGGCATTATTCGTTCCAAATTGGGGCAGTACTGTGTTAGGATTGCATTTTTTTCGACATAAGCTTAGGATAATCTGGAAATTTCAATGCTTACTGCCAGTTCCTTTTGCCTTCAAAGTTGCTGCCTGACTAGTACTCTGTTCCGTTGTGCAATAATTTCTGTAGATCTGTGTGCTCCAGTAGAATTTTGTTTACACTAGTCTGTGCCCAGCTCTTAACAATTGTATTATTTGAATGCTTTGGTTGACAGGGAGGTATCTATTTTCAACTGTATGATCTCAAATCTTTTTGAAGAATATAAGTTCTTTCCCAAGTATCCTGATAAGCAGCTTAAGATAGCAGCTGTTCTGTTTGGTAAGCACATTTTTATTTTGATTGGCCTTCACAAGCCTTTTACTGTATATATATTTTCTCTCAAACACGCTAGGAACTGCGTAAAATTGCAATATGAAGAAGATGATTTGTTACAGCTAGTTTGCTAGATTACATTCTGTTATGGTGTCGGTAAGGAGGTACTGAGGTAGGGAAGGTGGAGTAGGCGGAGTCCCTTGGCTTCGCAGTCTATACCTGCCGGCAGGATCGGAGCGAGGTTTTACCCCGCAGCTCCCTATTTTGTTAGAGGAAGAAGAGACAGGGAATAGATTGATTCATTGCTTAATCTCGACTCCAGGTTGCCAAAAGGTTTACATAGGCCTCTGGCCCAACAGCTCCTAAACTGAAGCCTAAATTGTCTCGATCAAATCTCACAAACCAAATCTCCTAATTGCTTATTTCCTTAATCGATAAACTAGGCTCGGCTGCAGGCCGGCGATCATGGTTGAACCCGCGCCTAGCCACTTTCCTGGCCGGCTGGTGCCTTGGGCTTCTTCCCTCTCCGCGTGTACTGCTTGCCGCACATAACAAAATAACACTGTTTATTGTATGTAATTGTAACCTGATGTTACTTTTTTTCATGCAACACTCTTTTCAGTTCAATGACAGGTTATCTAAATTTAGTCTCTTACAAAATAATGCTCTTGGCTTATGATCCAGGGTGATAATTATTCTACTTGACGATCGTAGTATCTCCCATTCTATGAAATTCCAACTGAAATGAAGCTTCTATTTTCTTATTGTTTTCCAGTCTGTCATTTTCCGCAGTTTTGCTCTATGTTCATTTGCGCTACATTAAAACTGAAGTTAATCTTAGTCTGTCTAAAAAAGGAAGTCCAAGGATCAAACATGTCGTGCTGGAGTGATAGTTTGAACTGAAAGCATGCATGGCAGTTTTTTTCCTCTTGTGAGTGATTTTTTGGTATAGGCAAGATCAATGTTATCAAGTTGTCTAGTCAATCCTAGTCGCCATAGGACCGACCAAGCAACTATCTGTGATTAGTCGTCGACCAGGTCCTAGTTGTCCCCTAGTCGTCCTATATATATCAGGACTATTACCAAATATATATACTAATATACTATATGTTCTAGAGTACAAATCAAGCATGAAGATAACTCTAGGGTGGTGGCTGCATGTAGGGTTGCAAATTGGGCTGAAAAACATGAGCCCAAGTGGCCTAAGCCATCCCAGATGCAGCTCATGCCCTTAGTTGCACAGCAATTCCATTCTGTTTCTGGTTGTCCGCCTCCCTATTCATCCGTCTAATCGTGATTAGTCGACTAATCGGACGACCAGAAAACTAATCGGCCTAATTGAGTCGTAGTCCCTAGTCGAGTCTAGGATACCAACTAGGGTTACTAATCGCTTTTGAGTCTTATCTTTTGCTGCATCGACTCGAAAAATAAAATTCTTCATTTGCATCAGTTGTGATGATTCATGAGGCCAAGAGCCTCTGTATCTTTGCTTTGGCTAAGGCTTGGTTATGATTTTGTCATTGGTAGTCTGTAATGTAGCCCACATACTTGCCAGTTATATGCCGAGTTTGAAGATGGCAACCATCCACCTATGGATTGATGTTGCTCCTTTTGTATGTGGGGGTGTGTTTGGTTTGATCCCTGGCTCAGGCAGCGCTGCCAGACGCAGGTGTCCGAAATCAAATGCCTTGGAGTGTGGCCAGCTCCAATCCAAACAGGCCCTTCGGCCAGTGGTTCGGCTGATGTGCTATTTAGCTGATGGAATGAATTATTTTTTGTCTAAAAAATGTCTCTAATACAATTCTATTCCTGAAAATAGGATCTCTTATTAAACATCAGCTTGTGGCTCACCTTGCGCTTGGAATTGCTCTACGTGGTGTCCTCGATGCCCTGCGCAAATCTGTTGATTCAAAGGTTTTCTAGGACCTCTCTGACATAGTGACATTCTTTTACATCTCCAATTGTTCACTGATGCTTCAAACATGTAATGCTGATGGTGTTATTGGCTTGCAGATGTTTATGTTTGGTACAACAGCACTGGAGCAGTTTATGGATCGTGTCATGGAGTGGCCACAATACTGTAATCACATATTGCAGATCTCGCATCTTCGTGGAACACATTTTGAAATGGTTTCTGCTATTGAGAGAGCCCTAGCCAAAATCTCATCAAGTCAAAACGAGCCAAATGTTGGCAACCTGCTTTCTGCAGAGCAGCATGTTTCTGGTTCATCATCCATGGAAGGCATAGAGGTAACTTTATCACATAAACTTGAGGAAGGAGAACACATTTTGGTGGCAGGCTTTGAATTTGAACTGAATATATAATGGCTCTTGCAAATTGGTTTCCTTTTTGTTAGCAATTTAAGATTATGGGAGATTGCTACATGCTGACTGATTTGCTATGTTATTAACTGTCTCTTGAATGCAATGGTTGGATTTTCATGATTCCTTCTACATTTTTCTAAATGATATGGTGAATTACTGAATTTATGTAGGTGTCTGAATCATCATGGCTGATGGGTACCATCCCAAGTCAACTTGGAAGGCCTCTTTCTTCTTCTCCTTTGCAACATAGGCAGCAGGGTCTTCTTGGGGAGAGGTCTAAGGTTTCTATGAGTTCACTGAACAAGAGCATTGTATCCAGTCAGCCTCCCCTTGCTTCATCATCTGCTGATTTGACTATTAATCCAAAGGTATCAGGAAATTTTCATATGCATGCCTCCTAATTTCTGATAGCAAGACATTTCGATGTAGTGGCTGTTTCCATTTCTTTCTGCAATATCTGTATTCGAGATTCCTGTTTGCTTGTTCCCTTCACCTATATATATTCAATGCAGACAACTGCTCCACCCTCTTTACTAGCTTCACCTCATCAGTCTACCAGTGTGTCAATGAGTGTGCATACTGGATTTCTGCGTCCTCGAAGTACCTCAGGTGGCTCGCTAGCTTAACACATTCATGATAACATCAATTACTCAAGCCTTTTACCTTTAATTTACAGTTACACTGTTATGCCTGTCTTTTCTAGGATTGCCTAGGCAACCTTCATATACTACTGGATTTGGGACTGCTTTAAATATAGAGACGCTTGTTGCTGCTGCGGAACAAAGAGATACACCAATTGAGGTTGGTTTTGTTTTTTGAGTTTGCTCTTTTGGGTTAATACATAACTCGTCCTGTGCTAATGGACTTCTTCTCTTAACCTAGACACCTCCACCTGAAGTTCAGGACAAAATTCTTTTTATGATCAACAATATATCCATCTCAAACATGGAAGCTAAGGCAAAGGAATTTAATGAGGTCATACAGGAACAGTATTATCCTTGGTTTGCACAATACATGGTCATGAAAAGGTATCATTCTGAATTTACTGATTTCGTATAGATTTGTCTGACAATGCTGAGGTATACAAATCACTGCTCATCTTGACAGGGCAAGCATTGAACCAAATTTCCATGATCTGTATTTGAAGTTCTTTGATAAAGTAAACTCAAAATCCTTGAACAAGGAAATACTGAAAGCTACATATGAGAACTGCAAGGTTTTTGTTCACTCCAATTCGTCTGCCCTTTTTTTTATGTTTTTGCTAGACATTTTGTTTAAACTTGGACACTTTTGCTGCAGGTCTTGTTAAGATCAGACCTTATCAAATCTAGTTCTGAGGAGCGCTCCTTGCTAAAAAACTTAGGCAGCTGGTTGGGAAAGTTCACCATCGGTAGGAACCAGGCACTAAGGGCTAAGGAGATTGACCCAAAATCTCTTATTGTGGAGGTACTGCTTCTCTGCATTAAACTCAGTAGTTGGGAGTTCTGAAAGCTCCCTTAGGCCGTCTAGAGCTTTTATTTAGTATTGCTCTATATTATTTAATAAGATATTTCTGTTTCACCCGTGTTTTTTGTGGTAAATTATTTATGTGCTTCTTGAGGTGTGTACAATTCATTTCAATGGATTCAATTTGTCTGCCTATAATCTTTTGAGAATTTCTTTCTTCAGGCATACGAGAAAGGATTGATGATTGCGGTCATACCATTCACTTCAAAGGTGTCCATTCCTGCTATCTTTTTTGTAAAAGATTTCTCCAAAGATTATAATCCGATTAAAATAGCTCAAAAAAAAATCCAATTATTAACTTGGGCGCATATCATGAGTCATGACCATTGGCTGCTCTGCAGATTCTTGAACCTTGCCACTCAAGTATCGCATATCGTCCTCCAAATCCCTGGACCATGGGAATTCTAAGTCTACTTGCTGAAATTTATAATCTTCCAAACCTCAAGATGAATCTGAAATTTGATATCGAGGTTCTCAACATTTCCTTTCTTGATAGTTCCTTTATTGGCCTTGTATCTGCCCTAGCTACCCATGCTAACTGTTCTTTTGAGATTTCAGGTTCTATTTAAGAACCTTACTGTTGACATGAAGGATGTGAAACCAACCTCCCTGCTTAAAGATCGTCTGCGAGAAGTCGAGGGAAATCCAGATTTTTCAAATAAAGATGTTACTGCATCTCAAACCCCTGTGGTTGCAGAAGTCCCTTCAGGAACCATCCCATCACTAACTCATATGGAACAGCAGCCTGAGATCAATATCACATCCCGAGCTATGAGCCTTCCAAATATACTTAATCAGGTTGGATTTGAACCTCTGTATCAACTATGATGTGGTACACTCTTCTGCCATTATAGTTGGAAAATATTTTGTTTGCAGTATGCTGCTCCTGTCCGTCTACCTACAAACAGCACAGTAGAAGATGGCAAAGTTGCTCTGATGATGCCTGAGCAAGTGCCCTCGTTGACCCAGGTTTCGCCAGCACAAACACAATCACCATCACCATCTCCATTCTCTGTTAATCAGGTTAACTTAATGTTTTAACTGCTGTTATTTATCTAAACAACTAGATTATGTTATATGATTTGTTTACCATTTGCGATATGTAGCTTATGGCGGCTATTCCACGTGATGAGATACGCTTCAAAATAAATCCAAAGCTTGGCTCCCTTGGTCCACAATTGCAGTATAGCAAGTATGCTTCCAAGTTTCTGAAAGGAATTTGGTATATTTCATTTGAACTTCTTTTGTTGCTGATAAATTACTTGCTTTATCTAGAATTATGGATTTGGCTCTGGATAAGGCTAACAGGGAGATAATACTCCCTGTTATTCAAAGAAGTGTGACAATAGCAAGCCGCACTACAAAAGAACTTATTCTGAAGGTTACTTTCTGACCTGCTTTGGTTTAAGATGTTAGTGTGATGATATTGTTGACACTTATATTTCTTGAAGGATTATGCACTGGAGTCTGATAACAATACGATAACTCGATCTGCACATTTGATGGTTGCAACATTAGCTGGAAGTCTGGCACATGTTACTTGCAAGGTATTTCTGCTTGAGGCCTTTGAGACTATGTTGATGAAGTGCTATGCCTGCTTGTTGATTCTATTAGCCCCTAAACATTTTGTATCTGTTGAAGACAACTGATAACTGTATTTCCTTTTTCTCTGCTATAGGAACCTCTTCGTGTCGCACTATATTCCAATCTTCGGAATCTCATTCAAAACCTTATGAGCGGCACTGAAACTATTGAGCAACTTATTCACATGCTAGTCAACGATAATTTGGATCTTGGCTGTGCCATCATTGAGGCTGTGGCAACACGTCAGGTAGCACCTTGACAATTCTAATTCTGCTGAGCTATGTACACCTTTTATTTCCCCTTAGGAGCGTAAGGTTCAAAATCCTGGATTGTTCTTAAAATTCCAACGGAGTTGTCAGTCTTCTGTAATTGCTTCAAGTCATTTAAGCTCAGACATCTAACAATGATTACTCATAAAGATAAACTATATTATGTTAAGGGGTAGTTCGGTACTACCACCGTCCTGAAATATAATGGATTTGAGTTTGTCGTAAGTCAAACTACATTAAGTTTGACCAAGTTCATAGAAAAGAGTATTAAGTATTATCGACCTCGAGGAGATAAACTATAAAAATATATTTCATAAATGTACGAGTATCTAATGATGTTCATCTAATATTGTAAATATTATTCTTCTCAATAAAATTGCCAAACTTAGGATAGTTTGACCTAGGGCAACTCAAAATCCTGATGTTCATCTAATATTGTAAATATTATTCTTCTCAATAAAATTGCCAAACTTAGGATAGTTTGACCTAGGGCAACTCAAAATCCATTATATTTCAGTATGGATGTAGTACTTATTATTAACGACAACTTCTGTCTGATCACCATTAATCATGGAGATCTGGATCTAGTATCATTTAGCCAAGCACGTGCTTTTCATTAGAGAGGGCAATGGATTAGCATTCCTTGTCGCAAGTCGGGACCCTAGAATTAAAACCTCGCCTTCACAACTTAACATTTTAACTTAACATTTTAGCGAAATTGACTAAAATTTGTTGGAGATGATTCAGTACAATTGCCCACTACTTTGTGCGGTGTGACTAGATGTGTATGAGGGTTTCACATCGAAAGTCAGAGTGTCGGACTCGGACCCTAACTAAAAACCTCGCGTTAATAACTTAAAATTTTATTGAAATTGATTGATTTGTTTTTGGAGATGACTTAATACGATTGCTCACTACTTTGTGTAGATCAGTGTGAATAGATATATACGTGGGCCCCACATCGAAAGTCAAACCCTAAAATTATTATTTTTTATTTTAGCGAAATTAACTGAAGTTTATTCGAGATTTACTTAGTACGATTGCTCATGACGGCAGATCGGTATGACTAGATATATGTTTGGGTCCCATGTCATAAACTTAAAACCCGCCTTTAAAGGCCGGTCTACCTCTCAAGTAGTCAAGTCCACATTTTGAGTCAATGTTCGATGGATGTTGGATTTTGTTGGATTGAATGATTATGGACATCCAAATCCAAATAGATCCTATCCAAGTGCATCCAAAGCAACTAGAGTCCATTTGGACTTCGTATTATCCAAATTCACTACCACCTCTACTTTGATAATGGATAAGTGGCTGACGCTCTTTTTCTTTCCCCTGATCCTCATGACTAACATGCTTTTGTCAGGCTGTTGAATTGATTGATGTAGAAATAGCGCAGTCATTTTCACAAAGGAAACAAAGAGAGGCCGGTGGTCCTGCATATCATGATTCCTTTGCTTATGCTCAAGGGCCGTTTGCTCGTGTACCTGAAGCACTACGTCCTAAGCCTGGGCATTTATCTACTTCCCAACAAAGAGTGTATGAGGTATAGCAGCAAAACATAAACTTCTGAATTGAAATTATGCATGTTGTTTCTGTATTGGACACATGGCTATCTGCATCCAACTCTGCTCTTTTCAGGACTTTGTTCATGTGTGGAATCCCCATAGTCAAAATGTCGGTGCTACAGGTTCTGGTCTGTCTGGTGGTGCTACTGCCTCGAGCACTCTTGGTGTACCTCGAGCTTACAGTCCAAATTCAGCACCGGTATCCTCAAGTAATTTGTCAACTATTCATATGAGTGGACTAACATCTATAACTCAGCCAGCGGAACTGGGGTCTGAGGAATCAGTTACTGGTATTGCACAATTTTCGAGGTACACATGCTTTGGCTATCTTTTACGTGATGTGTGGTTCTTTTTTTTTTCTGTTGCTTGTTTTGGACCGATTAATATCTTGTGTCTTCCATAGTAATCCTGCCCAAGTTGGAGCAAGCGAGTCTTCTGTCCTACTTGGTGGAACCATTGGTGCTGCATCTACATTTTCTACATTGGCATCTAACGACCTTCCTGCCAGTGCAACGACTGTCACAACCAATGTAATATTTCCTGTTGACCTCATGACTATGTTGCCATATATTATTTTCTAAGACCTTTCTAACCTTCTGCCAGGAAATAAGTGCTATGGTGCCACCTTCATCAACATCTGCTGCCGATCGTCTGGGATCCATTTTACCTGAACCTTTGAATACTGGGGATGCTTTGGAGAGATACCAACAGGTTGCCCAAAAGGTACTGATATTTTGGTTCGTGCTTGTCACCAAGATCCTTTTGGGCTTGTTTTTATTAAATATAATATAATGGGAATTACTAAGTTGAAATGAACATGCCTTTGCTTTTATATCCTTACACTTTACTGACTGAAGCCTTCTATTTGATGGTTCCTAAGTTAATGATCAGATGTTCTCGTCCTGTGAAATATGCCTACAATCATTTGGTATCCTATTTTATTTATGAGTTGGTTCAACCAGTCCCCCCCCTGCTTTGCCTGTAATCTACTATGAATGGTTTTGTTTTCTTTGGTAACCTATTGATAGACTAATATGTGTATTCTTTCCCTAAAGCTGGAAGCATTGATTGTTAATGATGGCAAAGATGTGGAAATTCAGGTCAGACAGTGCTTTGTTTATACTGCTCCAGTACATCAATATTTCTTGTAGGATTCAAGGCCTATTTGCTTAGGAAAATGTGGCATGCTATTGTGCTCTGCTTCGTATGTGTATTTTTTGCAAATAGGTCACCTTTTCTTCTTATCTGATGATACCTAATGTAATGTTTGTGTTCAGTCTGTTATTGCGGAAGTTCCTGATATCTTACCTAGGTGTGTTAGCCGGGATGAGGCTGCATTAGCAGTAGCACAAAAGGTAATTGATCTATTTGATTAGGAATATACGCATTTCTCAGTTGTTTGTTCTTTGTAACTTACTGTTTTGACTGTTTTAACAGCAAAGCTTATTTTGGTGCGTTATGTCCCAGGTTTTCAAAAGTTTGTACGATAACACATCAAATAGTACTTACGTCTCCTGGCTTCTAGCAACCTTAGTTGCAATACGAGATGTCTGCAAGCTTGTTGTCAAAGAGCTAACAAGTTGGGTATGTTTCATTGTTTTATTCAACCTTTGTATTCCATGTTGTTCAACAACTGAGTGTTGCAGAAATGCGTACGTTGCGATGGATTTGCGGTCACACAAGAATGGACCGAGTTCGGAACGATGATATACGTGATCGCCTAGAGGTAGCACCAATTGAAGAAAAGCTTGTCCAACATCGGTTGAGGTGGTTTGGCCATGTCCAAAGGAGACCTCCAGAGGCACCATTGCATTGTGGAGTCCTAAGCCAAGCTAATAATATGAGGAGAGGTAGAGGAAGAACGAAATTGATATGGGGGGAGGCAATCAAAAGAGATTTGAAAGCTTGGGATATAACTAGAGATCTATGTTTGTATAGGAGTACTTGGAAAGCAGCTATTGAAGTGCCTGAACCGTGACTTGGGGCTTTTGGTGGGTTTTAACTCTAGCCTACCCCAACTTGCTTGGGACTGAAAGGCTATGTTGTTGTTGTTGTTGTTGTTTGTATTCCATGTTATCTGCTTTATTGTGATATAGTTGTTAACGGTGAATTTTTTACGTTGAGACAAGTTGAGTTACTTAATTATGTTTTGATTTTGTGTCATTCCATATCCATTTTATATTTTTATATTGTACATACATTCTATGGCTGAGATTGTTGAAATTTGATAGTTCATAGGTTTCTTTTTATTGGAGTGAAGCTTTAGTTTTTTTGGGTCTTCTTTGACACTAAAGTAAAATTTTGTTTGAGTATTGCTTCTGTATGTTTAATGTCAATAGCATTAATTGCGTGAACAAGCCCATCAACAATATAAAACACAAGCACCAAATATTAACCTGTGAGCTATGATTTGGTGTGAGGTCTTAATATGGAACTCTTACTCTATAGTCTATACCTTTTTGATTCAATTATAGTACCATTTCATTTTCCTTTTTGATGAAGTTGATTACCTTGATGTCGCCCTGGTTTGGTTCTTCTGTTTCATAGTTCATCATGAGGGATTTGAAAGCGAACTAATTTCCTTTATTTGTTTATTATCCTTTTTGTTCAGGTAATATATTCAGATGAAGAGAAGAAGTTTAACATTGAAATCATTTTTGGCCTTATTCGTTCCGAGTTGCTGAATCTTGGGGAGTACAATGTTCATTTGGCAAAGCTAATTGATGGGGGAAGAAATAGTATGTTGAGATACAAAATATTTCCTTTCATTTTTATTTATTCTTATTTTATACTTATGCACATTTATCACCAAAAGCTACTGGATGGTCTCAAAGTTAATTGGTGATATCTGTTGCTACATGTATACCTGGATTATATAACCTAGTAAATTGTAGTGACAAACTAATTGAGATAGATGCATCATGCTTTTAGGAGGATGTAGGTATGCCTCTTGAAATCCTGTAGCATAAACTCCTAACTCATCAAATTGTGAGCAGAGGGAGCATAAGATGCTGAATTCAATGTTCAAGTTGGATCTTTTACAATTTAGTTAGCACAATGTGTCAGTATTATAGTTTTGTACGGATTTCACCTTTCTTGCAATTGAACTAAATGATTTATGTGCATCTTACACTATAAGAGTGATAAGGTGCACATGCAAATAAATCAATATCTTGTCTTTTTTTTTTTTTTTTTTTTTTTGGGGGGGGGGGGGAGGAGGCAGTTCCTCATCCATTAAGGCATTAACAAAGCAACAAAAATACATGAATGTTCAGCAGGGAAAAAACGACCTAGAGAATAGGACAAGGAAGAAACATATTGGGTGCTTTCACATGTGTGCGCAAAAAATTTTTTTAGGCCTGGCATCAATTGCCCACTGGATTAGTGCAAGTCTTAGACGGTGATCCCTGTTTAATCTTCTGGACTGGCGTAATTGTTCCACGTTTTTGTTCCTGTAAATCAGAGAGCTTCATGGACTGGATTATTTTGTACTATTCTTCATTTTTAAATGAGATTGTTATTGTTTTTCAGTTACTTGGATTTACCTGCTTTCTTTTGTCCTACTCAGAGGTAGCAACGGAATTTGCAATGTCTCTTGTCCAAACATTGATTACTCAAGATTCTGTTGGCGTCTCAGAGCTTTACAATGTTGTTGATGCACTGTCGAAGGTATGTATAATTCTGGACATGATCTTTATTTTCTTCTAGTATTTATCCAAGGACCAGGTTCAACAGTAGGAAATGTTGGTTTGCAGCTTGCAAGGAGACCTGGTTCACCTGAATCGTTGCAACAATTGATTGAAATTGCAAGGAATAATGTGAGCACCACTACTGGTTTTGTTGTTGGGAAGGATGAAAAGGTCAAACTGCCAAAGGATAAAAAGGTTTATGATCTGATCTAAAAATATCAGTTGCCTTCACATCTATGAATATTCTTTGATATCTCCTGTCCTCAAAATGTCTGCCCTGTTTATTCAATTGCATTGCTCTTACTCAATTTGTAGGTTCTAGCTACCCGGGCAAACAAAGAGGAAAGCGCTGCTAATGAAATTACACTAGTTGATCCAAATCAGGTTCGGTTGACATGCTGAAACTTCTTATTCAGTTTTGTGTATCATGAATCCTACAGATTTACAGAACCTTAGTTTGATTTTCATAAACCTATTCTCTTCATTTTTAATTAGATGTTTTGGTTCTGTTTCTGTTTTCTTTTGATTCCGTTTTTCAATTTTTTGGGTATGGAATCAGAATTCCTTAGTGTACTCAAGAGTTTTTTGTTTGGTTTAATTAGCAACATTTTGTCTGTATCTTGTTTGTTCCTTTTCCACTCAGAATTTCCTGTCATGATTGCGGTGATGTGGTCACATATTAGCATGTTAGTTCAACCAGGAGATAAGTTGGTTGTATCGGTCTTCCATTGGTGGTGTTACCTGTATTTTGTTGCGGTTCTTGCTCAAGCCATTCTCACAACTATACCTTGAATCTATTTTTGCTAGACTGTTAATTAATCTGTTAAGTTGTTTGATGTACAGGTGGCAGTCCTGTTTTCTGAGTGGTGTCAGATGTGTAATCATGTGAGTGCTAGTGATGCGGCATACAGTCATTTTGTCACACAGTTGCAGCATGATGGTCTGCTGAAGGGAGATGATATCTCAGAACGCTTCTTTCGTATTCTCACGGTGATGAATCTACCTTTGTACCAGATTATGCAGTACACTTTGGCATACTCAGATACTTATTTTGAATCATTTAGGAACTTGCTGTTACACACTCTCTAGTCTCCGAGCAAATCGTTGCTCCTGGTGGATCATCTCAGCAATCACCACAGCAACACATTTCATATTTCTCCATTGATTCATATGCAAAGCTTGTAGTTATGGTTCTCAAGGTACCTAAAGGATTTTCCACATGTATTAAATGTGACTTTTAGACTGCAGTTTTTCAGTGGAGTTCATTATAGTCATGCATCATAACTGTTTAAAATTGAGTAAAATGTATTTTGGCTATAAGTGTTTTTTGCATGAGAACCAGGCCTTTGGGTATCTGAGGTTATCAGAAAGTGACTAGTCATGTTGGATCAAACTGCAGATTTTGATCCCTGCATTCTGTTATGTTTAGTTCTGTTTTATTTTTCTGCTATCGAGGTTTGTGTTGTGCAGAATGATTGATGTACTATAGTGTCAAATCTGTTCTGTTCTATTTAGCTGCATTATCATGGTACTTGAGTAACATTTGAGCTATTAGTTGAGCTGGGTATCATTGGAGTTATATCTGGTAGGGATCTTTATATTGCCTAATTAATTCCATTTTTCTCTAGAAGGGTAATTCCATATTCTCCTTGAGTTATTGGCAAATGGTAATACCAGCTAAGATTGATAGAACTCAGGTCGAGTGTTATTAATTCCTTGCTTGTTGTTTGTATTCAGTACTCTTCAGTGGAGATAACGCCAAATAAAGCCAGTATACTTTCCAAGGTTCGTTTTTACAAATTGGTTATGGCTTTGGAACCTATACATGTATTGATAGTTCATAAAACAAGTATTTTCCAACTTGTCTTGTCCAGATTCTATCTGTTACAGTGAGAACCATTCAGAAAGATGCTGAGGAAAAGAAAGCTTCATTTAATCCTCGGCCATACCTTCGATTGTTTATAAATTGGCTCTATGACCTTACTACCACCGATGGCCACCATGATGGTTCTAATTTTCAGGTACGCATGTTAGCTATGTATTGTTTAATACTTTTATTGTGACATCTGTGATATAGCAATATTGATTGGTGACAGGTTTTGACTGCATTTGCAAATGCATTCCACATGCTACAACCCTTGAGAGTTCCTGCCTGGAGGTCTGTCCATCACTTTTGGTCTACTTTGTCAATTTTACCTTTCTATTCTATGTTGATGTGTTCAATTATTGTGTCACGTGATGTTTAAAAGCATGTGTATGCAAGTCCTGGTGATTATGCTTAACTATAAGCTTTACATTGCTATACACTTAGTTGCCATCCATAACATGTGTTACATTGAAGCAGTAATGTCCTGGTGGCCCAATAAAATATTTGTTGTACGAACTGACCTTACATCATTTAATCTGGATTGGGATCATAATGTGAGCTCACAGAGCTAGGACTTCTTTTTTCTCTCCTGTTTATGGAGTTCCAACCCTCAATTCTTGCTACTCACACTGCTCAGGTGATGGGAGCAGAAATTAGTTCACCTAGGCAGCTTAATGTTCAAACTCCAAACTCGGAGCTGTTCTTTTTTGCACCATGAAGTCAAACTGATCCTTCTTTCCCTCTACTTGTGTTTGCTTTTACACTAGGCATACAAGTACCTGCTTCTTGTCATTGCTGCTTTATTATCGACTAAAACTATTTTTAACCTTTTTTGAACACATGCCATGTTCGCTATTCTGCATTATATGATTAAAACTATCCTCTTCTGTAGCTTTGCTTGGCTTGAGCTGGTGAGTCACAGGAGCTTCATGCCAAAACTGCTGATGTGCAATTCACAGAAAGGTTGGCCGTTTTTTCAGCGGCTGCTTGTTGCTCTTTTCAAATTCATGGAACCATATTTGAGAAATGCTGAACTCCCAGAGGCGGTAAGATTTGTAATTTTTGCAATCATTACTAACCTGATTCAAGGAATACTTCTTAATTTTTATATCGTATTACTTTTTTTTTTTTTTGTAGGTGGACCTTTTATACAAAGGAACTATGAGAGTTCTGCTTGTACTACTGCATGACTTTCCTGAATTTCTTTGTGATTATCACTTCAGTTTCTGTGATGTGATTCCTTCAAGTTGCATTCAAATGCGCAATGTCATTCTTAGTGCTTTTCCACGTAACATGAGACTGCCAGACCCTTCTACTCCTAATCTAAAGGTACATGCCATCTGTGGAGCAGTGCTTTCTCTGTCCTGATACCAATTGGGCATATTTAAGTTGTTTTTTCTTGTTTTACAGATTGATTTGTTGGCTGAAATTTCAATAGCACCACGAATCATGTCGGATGTTGATGGTGCCCTCAAATCAAAGCAGTTGAAGACTGAGGTTGATGAATATCTCAAGGTCAAATAATTTTTCTTGTTATTATCCTTTGTATGAATTTGGACTGCTATCGACTGCTATTCATGGGCTGATATGCATGCTGTTCTCACTTTGGTATCACACAGAGGCCGGAAGGCTCTTCCTTTCTAAGTGACCTGAAGCAAAAATTGCTGCTGCCTCAGAATGAAACAACTGTTGCTGGGACACGCTACAGCGTGCCTCTGATCAATTCACTTGTTCTTTATGTTGGCATCCAAGTGAGTTTTCCCCCAGTCAGCTTTCTCATTAAAAAGAAAACACATTATGCAAAAGTATGCACTGAAGAACCAAAGGATGAAAGTTATGCTGTTACATCACTTTAAGCATCCTCTGAGTTATTATTTTCATCATGTTATTATCATTGGCACTCATGATGTGCTGCTTTGATGTACCATGCCCCACTTCAGTAATTACGAGGCCACAATCCCATGAGTTCCTACAGAAGAATCCAAAATTGCCCTACCTGATCTTCGTTTGCTCTTTGAGAAAGATCCAAACTTGCATTAGGCTTTGATTGCCTGATCAAAGCATCTCTCCCTCCAGCTAGTATATTTGAATGTCTAATTTGCTTTTGCTAAAGTCATTGTATCTTACAGCATATAGATGGCAGAACCTATAATCTGTTCTGTTTCTTCGCCAGAAATTGCATTAATGATGCAGTGTATTTTGGTTTAATTTGTTTGTGTTTTGTTCTGTAGTTCTTTTTTTTCTAAAAAAATATGGTTTGCATCTCTAACCTCGTACTTGAATCAATATATAGGCTGTGCAACAACTGCAACTGAACAAGGCTAATGCATCGGTATCCGTACAGCAGATTAACCATATGCCTCCGATGGACATTTTCCAGATTGAAACAGCTACCGAGATGTTCAGAAATCTTATAACAAGTTTGGATACAGAGGGCCGCTACCTTCTGTTGAATGCAATCGCTAACCAACTGCGCTATCCCAATAGCCATACGCACTACTTCTCCTTCATCATTCTGTATCTATTTGCCGAGGCTACCCAGGTATTGCGAGATATTACTTGTACAATTACATGTGCCACCTTGCTTTCTTGGGTTCATGTTGTATGTGGTGCATCCCTCTGTAACAACGAATCTCCGCATGCATCTTCACATCCCCTTGTAGCATCTGATTCATTTTTTGGAGGCTGCTAGTGTTTGCCATATTGTATATGCTTTGCTATTAGGATAGATTCTATGACATACCCTCTAATGTCCATGCTATGTGATTGAGCAGGAAATTATCCAGGAGCAAATAACGAGGGTTCTTCTGGAGCGTCTCATCGTGAACCGCCCCCATCCTTGGGGGTTACTTATTACTTTCATTGAATTGATAAAGGTACGTGACATGCTTTGTTTCGTGTCATTCATTAAAATATTGCAAACACGAGCACTAAATGTACCTTTCTTGTGTTAGAATCCGCGTTACAACTTTTGGAACCGGTCTTTTACACACTGTGCACCTGAGATTGAGAAACTGTTTGAGTCGGTGGCAAGGTCCTGCGGTGCAAAAGCTGTAGACGAAGGAATCAGTGTGCAGGATGGCAGTCACTAAAGTTATTTGCTTTGTTGAAGTGTTGTTTTTGTACTATTTCTGTCTGGCACTGTAAATTTTTGCGTGCCGCCCTATCTGCGCTTGTACAGATCGTCTGTATATAGCAAATAAAGCTGGAAAATTACAGTGCGTCATGTCAACTATTTGGTGCTCCAGGTGCAATATTTTCTGTCGATTGGTTGACCTTTTCATTCAAGTCTATCAGAATGGTAGATGGTGCAACGATTGTTACCAAATGTTTGTCAAGAAAATCATCCTTCAAGGCAGGCCTCTGAACACTCGCACTCGCTACCCCATTCGCTGTACTGTGTGCTGAATTCATATTGATTTCTGCCTGGCCTAACACCCCCTTCTCTTAGAACGGAACATTTCAATATCGGTCTGTACTTGTCTACCGTTTAAAATTGCACACCAAATAAGATATTATTTGAAAATTGCAACGAGTAATGTAAATTGCGGACTATGACATTTTACAGAGCGTTAAAGAAAAGGCATTTATAAGGTGATTGATTTGTGGAAGGTAGTCCATCATATTCCACTTCTTAATTCTTTGTTTTGTGGATTGTATTAAGTTGATGTATCACCACTTCATACTTTAGGCTTATAATTAGTATTATAGAGCATCTCCTCACAATCTAGGATTTTTGGGAAAAATGAAAAAAAAAACATCTTTAACAGTTTCCAATCCTCACCTCCCAATCTTTTCGTGCTCGGAAAAAATAGACCAATCGTGTGAATATATCCGTGTGTCCACCGTGCGCGTATCCATCTGTCAATTTTAAGGTGGAAAGATGTGAAAAAGAATAAGATATATAAAAGTGGTTAGGATAATTTAGAAATAGTATAATATTTCTTATGTATGTCTTTTATATTTTAGAAGTGAATTATTGAAAACTGTGAAAGATTGTCTTATTTATTCCTTCTAATAATTTTTGGTGAGTGGAAAACTCTATGGTTTTGGAAAAAAAATTATTGGAAACTTTTAAAGATGCTCTTAGGCTTATAATTAATATTAGTATGAGAAATGAAATTATTTGACTATGCTTATAATTAGTAGTAGTACGAGAAATAAAGTTATTTCACTAAATTTGAGAATGAACTCACGATGCAATTAGTGTTTTCAAAAAAGAAATTATGCAGATTATCGCCTCTCCAAACCCATGTTTCACCTCGGTAGCTTGAAGCGGCCACGTCACCCGGAATTCAACTAGAGTGGCCACGTCGCCTTTAATTGCTTTGCGTGGTCAGCAGCGAGCCACGTCACCCCAATCAAATTGATGCCTTCCCTTCCCGCAAAAAGAAAAAAAGAAAAAAAAAAGACCGTCTCTCCCATCCTCTCCCTCTCTCCATCTCTCTCGACGCCTCCTCCGGCGACCTGTGCCTCCACCGCTCCCACCGCCTCTGCCCTCGTCGTCTCTTCCTCTCTCTCTCTCTCTCTCCCTCTCCCTCTCTCCCGACGTGGCTGCGTGTTGGCCCCCTCCTCCATCTCTGCTTTCCCTTTTCCCCCTCTCTCTCTCGCGATGCCACGGTGCACCGGCCAGCCAACGGCGTGGGCGGGACGGTGGCGCACGGGCGCCAGCAGGCCCCCGCAGGTGGCCGCCGCCGCCGCTGCCACCCCGCCGTGGCTTCCTCCACCGGTCCGCGTGTGCTCCTAGGCTCGACGAAACGTTGAAACCCTGGGGGTTGCCCATCATGCTGCAGACCAACCAAATTCAATATCAATAAGGTGCCAGCTTCTCTAACTTGCACGGTTAAGCTGCGTTTAGGCACACAACACGAATCCTATTCTTTTCTTCCCTCTTGTAGGGTCCCTTTGAATTTTATGACAGGGCATGTGTTTACAGCCCCAGCAATCCTACACCAGTTGTTCTTTTTGCTGGCTGCTTCCAAAAAATACTTACCTAGAAACTAATCTCATATTCACTGATTTCCTCTTCGTATACTATGGATAGTACATAAGTTCTCGCCGTTAAGATGCTTGCACCTGAATGCACTCATGACGTTTGATAAATAGTTTCGTCACTGATAAATAACTGTTCTTATGACTTCATTGTTGTACTTGCATATAGGCTATTATTCCTGCTGCCCGCTGGGGGACAGAGGTGACATGCCACGCTGGAATCTAGCAGTATATAGTAATATAGGAGCCTCCTACAAAACCTAACGGGGGATCAAGCCATGTCGCTGCCATAGCTTTACAGAGCCGCATCGCAGCGACAGTTTTCTGGATCGTTTTCTCAGACAGGCCGGCAACCATGTTTACAGGTACCAATGATGGTTCAGCAGTTTTGCTATTCCTATTAGATAGAGTCTTTGTACACCTCACACGGGGCGCTATTATTTATATATGATAGTTGTTATTTATGTTAAAAGCAAAGGGTTCGATCGTGGAGGGCCTCACGTGCATGTATAGTGCCCTCACTTTGCTTGGTTAATTTCTATCATAGGCTATAACCCAATTTCTAGAACCATCATTTTATCATATTTTGAAATTGGTAGTAGTTCTCACAATCCAGTTGTCTTGCAATAGTTCCAGTGTCTTTGACTACCTCAAAATATTTCAGAGCAGCACAAAGGTGGTTGGGCTTGCTAGGAAGGTAATCTATTACATGGACCTTCAGTATCAGGGTATTTTTATTTGTTTCTTCCTCTAATTTCTGAACTATAGCTATTATTGGCTTCCTTCATTAAAAAAGGATTAGCAGATACATTGTTCTATCTTCTGTCTTGGTATGTTAGAGCTATTAAATTCCTGTGTTTTCATTTTGCTTTTGTGCTACCTAGGGTTTTTTACCATCCTAGCAGCATGTTCGCTTAGTCATATTTGGCTTATAAGACATGGTTTATCAGCCAACGAACAATATTTTTCTCTCACACCAAACCAGCCAACAGTACTTTCAGCCATGGCTTATAAGCCAAACCAGCTCAAACGAACAGGGCGCTAATACTTGATAATTTTATAGTCATGTCTGTTATGGTTCACGCATTTATTTGAGCATGGTGCAGTCCTACACATGTATGCCTGACTTGAGCAGCAGAACATGATCTTATCTAAAAACACAGCCCCCTCTTATTAAGGACGTAAAGTTTGGTCGTTTATCCTTTTGCCCTAACTGTGCTTTGTTCGACAATGTTGTTCAGTAAAGCTGACAAGGGCAACATAGACCCAGCCAACCTATAAGTCTGATCTTATGTTAGCATAACAGATCTAATTGTTTCTTAACAAACTAATATTTCTTTTGATGTACTCATCAGAGCAGAGTAAATAGTTAAGATAGGTTCGCAACTCTTTGGGACCTGATTCCCTCCCGCCTAGATCACAAAAATTGTTTATACAGGATTGATTTATGCTCAAATAAATGTGTGAACTACAACATGTTCAGATATGGAGCATGGTGCAGTCCTGTATGACACACCTGTGCTTTCTTCGTGCTTAGATCTTTTTTATCATATTTGCTTCCATATGTGCACGTAAGTTGATTGTGCAAATGACTGATTAGTTGGCCTGCAAAGACGGCAATATGTCAAATGTTTGTCTCAGCCTTGCTTCTTTACTACCTCAGCTATATTGTGCAGTAAAGATGGCAACGGGTACATACCCACTGGGTACTGACATCCTATACCCGTACCCGCGAAAAATATTTATACCCGTACCCGCACACAGGTACAGACTTGTGGGTATTGATACCCGATGGGTAACCCGTACCCGATTGAGCACCGGCCTCAGACATTTCAGCAATAACATAACAAGTTTATTAGGCACTTCAGTTCATCATAAGAACACCGGAACACCAAAAAAAAAAAAAAAACAAGCTTACAAGCTCATGAGTTAATAAAAGGCACTTTAGAAAAAAGAACACCGGAAGACTCCATTGGTGGAGATTGCGGTGCCAGATTCTGCTGGCATGCATGGTCGCATGGACTTGGGAAGATTTGGCCTCGTCGCAGGCAAAGAGGCTATTGCCTATCGGACTCGCTCGTTGCTTGTGCTATCGGCGCTCGCGCGGACTGCGGCGTGCTGCGTGCGGCCGCGCGCGGGTGTGGCGTGGGAGACCGGAGACGAGGAAAGTTGCGGCCAGCAGGGGAGAAGAATGGGTGTAGGGTTTTGACAGGTCGGCAGCCAGGGTAGGATATTTTAGATGGTCTGGACCGAATACTTGGGCCTGCGTGGGCTAAATTTAGATGAGTGGTTTCAAGTGGTTAAATGGCTGGTGCGGGTATATATTACCCGCGGGTACACGGGTGTGGGTACCATGTTCCCGTATCCTTACCTGCTTACCCGATGGGTAAAGTTTTTTATCCATTAGCATACCCACGGGCGAAGAAACTTTCCCATGCCCGCCCTTTAATCGGGTAAAACCCATCCGGTAGTCGAGTTTCGGGTACCCATTGACATCTTTAATTGTGCTTCCTGACCTTAGGGGTACAGTTGGTTGGTTGTACCTTTCTTGACAAAACCATGGACCATTTCATTGGATGAATAAAAGATTATGTTGTCGGAGGACCTACGATGTTAACTGCATAAATATAATAGTTTCTGCTTTTCCTCTTGGCTTATACCAATGAGATATAGTTAACTCACAGTTTCAATTAGGTGGATTAAATTTGTGGATTCATACATGGGATTACCGTTTGTGGTTATTGCTCTTTGATCCAAACTAGTACGCAATTGATTAATTGAAACTTTCATTGTTTAAACATGCATGCTAAAAATGACAATTGAATACCTTTCTCTGATTGCATGGTAGTATTTATTTTACACTATTGTTTGTGGCATTGTTAATTTACTCTTAGATTAGCTACACATTCTGATTTAATGTGTAGAGAGGACCTGCATTTTATTTCAAGATTCATCATATCAGTTATCTAATTTTCTTTACATAACCTAACATGGAGTGTGTTCTTTTCGGTGTTGTCCTTCCTCAGTTTAAAGGCAACATTTTGTTAAACATTTTTGCATAATTTTGTATCACTTTGCATGTGACTCATAGGACACCTAA